CTGCAGATCCTCTACGAGAAGACACTTTTCTCGAAAACCCCATAGAGTTTCGCATGTCACTATCCGGAAGTACACCAGCGACTGATTCACTCACCAGCCTTGTTGAAGGCTATGTCAAGGATTCACTTGATATGCCTATTTACCGCATCGAAATGCCAGAGAATACCGCCGCGATTGTAAAATTTTCTGACCCCACCACTCGGCTGCGTGTCAAGCTTGATTTGTGCACCAAGCCGCGCAGCTATCAAATGCGTGACTCTGGCGATATTGTGCCGGAGAAGCACACCTTTCGCGTAGTCAACGACAAGGGCGGAAATGTGTGGGCCTACCTAGCCGTAATGGCAGCAGATGAAATTTCCACGCTGAAGACATTCAAATTTGAGATTACGATGCTGAAATGTCTCGTTTGGGACTTTAAGTTACGCGATCCTGAATGGTCAACGACTGGTTGCATACCCAAGCTAAACTTAAGCGATGCAGAAAACTTGAGTTGCAGTTGTTATCATCTGTCCACGTTCGCGGGCAAGAAGCATCCCACTGCCGCCATGGAAACTAGTACACCGCGTCATGTGCTCACTAGCCTGCCTACGAATGGTTATATGGTCGTAGTTTTCTTTTTTCTGCTCCTACTATTTTCGCTGCTTTTCTGTTACGCCTGGCGTTCTTTGCGCAATCACAAAGGTGAACTGATTACATTACTCGATCAGGAAGACTACAACAAAGAGTTCGGTGTCAATGTTCACATAAGCACCGGCGGCCATTGGCATGCCGCTACGTCTGCAAATGTTATTCTCATGTTTGCTGTACCGCAAGGCACGCGCAAATTTATAATTTATCAAAATCCCGAGAATGCGCACTTGGTGCGCAACTCCACTTGCACACTACGCTTACCACTGACAGGCGATGATCTTGCTCAGCCACTGTTGCTCAGCATACGTCGTGACAATTCCGGCCGCTATCCCAGTTGGTATTGTCGTCGTATTGTCATTGAGGATTACGCCAACGAAATCATCTGTTCGTTCGAGGTTGAAGCGTGGATAACGACGAAACCGTTAGTTTTGGATGCAGCAAATTTCCGTGAAGGTTCACAATCTTTTAAGCGCACATTCCGTGATACGCTGGAGAGTCTCTGCATACAGTGGTTCCTATTTCAGGCTCTGATAGGACCGTGGAAATATGGCGATTCAACTTTGAATCGCTTCGAGCGTACTTGCATCTGGACAGTGAAGTTGGCTGTAACAATTTGCATTGTTGCCTGCTATATGGGTCCGACGGCATTGAAGACTTATGAAGAGGAACGCGATAAATACAATAATATTGCTTACGATTGGGTGGAAATATTTTTCCTATGCATTTTCTCGTATATTATTTGTTTCTTTGTGGAGATCGGTCTTAAGGCATTCATTTACCACGATGAGTTGGAACGGGAAAATGCTGACGAAGAATATATTAAAGAAGATTGATTTAGCAAGTAAACTTTTTTATCTCTAGCGGTATAACTTAGTTATTTATAATGCATACTTATAGATAAACGAAGACATTGTAAAAAGTGAATAAACTTTTTCTACATTAATGGTTCACAATAATTTTCTGAAACAAATGATTTATATGAGTCTTTTTATCGTCATTATCAATAAAAAAAAATCCGTATTTGAGCAACTAGAAATTTTAATGGAGAACCCTAAAAGTTTTACCATCTAGTCAGCCCAGAAAATACTCTTAGAACAGTAAACGAGCATACAGATAGCGGTGCTGTGTCGAAACTTTGGCTTCGAATCCGACTAAACTGATAAATGCGTAGCGATGACCCCGAATGGATCCTTCTCCGCACAAAGATTTCTGGTAAACATATTTCTTGGATACTTCGTAGTAGAAGGGAAGAGTTGCAAGAGTTGTGTTCTGCCAAGAACTCTCCTTAAACTTCAATTTTATACTCACGGATTTCTGCAGCGCATTTCAAGCAGAGGTGGGCTTAATTAAGGTAGTCGACTGGAAGCGTAAATATTTACTGACAGCCAAGTGGTAATCAGGGCGTTAGAAAGTGATTATGCTGCGATGGAAACTAGTCAGAGAATACCTTGAAATACTTTTTAACTCAGTTTCTTTGAGTCCCAGCTCACTCTCGAGCTTGTTTCTCCTCACAGACAGCGCTGGGCAAAATCCCTGTCATGTAATGTTGTAAGCTTCTATGATAATGGTTCAAACACCTAAAATCGTAATTTATTATAACCATAGAACCGTGACTTGGGTACGCAGGGCCCATATTTATTTTTGATGTCGAATGGGGTATAGGAAGTCCAATTCGATTGATAGGCATATAGAATGTACCTTTATTCATAAGTTGACAAAATTCCAGGTGTATATTTACCTCTCATAATACGAAAGTAACGGTATTTTATATGATGAGTTATTAAGAAGCTTAAATTTTTCAGACGAAATACTTTACTGGGCATTGAGTGCCCAAGTCAAGAAATTAAGTTCAATAGCTGTCACGTTTCGATGCCCAGCGATGCTATCTTCAAATATGACTTTTCGCTAGAGCTTCATTCGGAGACACCAGGTTTGAGTTGTCCAGGGGTCAATCGCAAATTACCGCCGTTATATCAATCATCAGAACCATTACGCTCCTGAATAAAATGTTTAAGGTATTTTGTCTAAAAAAAAATCTATATACATATATAGGATTTCTGTAGAACAACGTTACTCGCTCATATACTAGTATATATACAGTTTCAAGGAAAGATACACCATCGAACCGGATCATTGTTACCGCCAGAGAATGAAGAGCAAAAGTTCTTCAAATTTAATTTGCTGTGCGATGATTACAGCATTTCAATAACTCCTTCACGGACATAACACTGTTGCTAAGTTATTTAAAACGGCAATGGAAATATGCCTTCTGACGATCACCAAACCATAACCTTAGCTGAAAATCGTATACGTAATTTGTTGGTGAAAATATTGGGCCAAAATGTTTCAATACAAAAAATTTATTTTGGGCAGGATGAAGTTCGCTGGGTATGCTAAATAGTTAAAACCAATACAAAAAGGCAACATCTAGCAACGCGAATTTATACAAGGTGGTGTGTTGGCAGAAGAAAAACAAAAATTTCAATTAGAAATCAAGGCGAATTAATATAAGGTGATAGCAGGAGTACAAAAACAAAAATTTACATGTATTTTGTTTTTGCTTTGGCGGCATAAACTGTCAAAATCTGTAAGAGTGTGTGTAGAAATTCAAACAAAATTTTTCAATTTGATATCAGAAGCCGTGCGGCGAAACACATACACAAAATCAGCTGAGCTAGTAACACCATCTTATATAAATTCGCCTTGTTAGAAATTATACGCACATTGACAATCAGTACAAAACAAAATTACAACGAACACATCAATTTGACAAAAGATACAAATTCGCCGTGAAATCATCGGCTCACGTAACACCACCTTGCATAGATTCGCCTTGACATCTAGCAACGCGCATAAATAATACAATAACAAATTTGTTTCCGACGAGCCTATTTCCAAAGGAAATAAAGTGGTCTATACTTGCCTACATCAATACTTCATCCACACACTGTTCCCTTTGACTTCGTTAACATCGAATTACTTATTGCTCTGCAGACAAAAGTACCGATACTTGGCATATCACCTACCGATCGCAAAGAGAACACATAATTGGTGTTAGTTCCGGTACTTTTGTATGAAGACGACCGACAACTTGTAAGAGTTGTCGAAGAGTGGAAGCAGATAATACCCAATTCCATATTATATATGTACATATGTACCTTGGCTTTGGCAAGAAAAAACTGGAAGTCTTATCGCGTTATTATAAATCAGCCAAACCTATGTAACTGCTTCAGAATTGTCTCCTGACCGAACCCAGCCTAATAAAAATCAGAATTTTTGCGTACATAAAAACTTTATTGGAAAAGAAACTATTGTCAATTTTTGGTTTAATAAGAAATATATGGCAATACAAATTTTCTTTACTTAATTAAACGCAAATAAAACATTGTAGGAGAAGAAAATTATTGAATATATATTGAAAAATAAGAAATCATAGTTATAGTCGTCATAGTCAAGAGAAAGGTGCTGCTGCTGCCAATACCGTTTTGCGCGTAGCATTCGAGCTATGAGAGTATTGGTTTTGTTTACAAGCATTTCACCGTCGGTCGTCATCGTTTTCAATTTCGTTTCAATTTTATAATTCTCACCCACTTTATTAGCTGACTAATTTAATGGGCAAACGCCTTGCCATATATCGCCATGAATCATTTTCGGTGTAATACGCACCGTCTTCTTATTCACTTGCACATTACGTATGCAACCCTTGAATGTTTTGCGGGTCTTCA